TTGAAAAAAATGTCGCTTACGTTATTTTGGCGGTTAGGGCTCGATATACAGACGGCAGCGTTGATCCGGATCAACTCGGGAATTAACTGCAGTTGATCCGGATTAAATCCGAGTTAAGCGGGATCAACGCTGCTGTCTGTTAAAGCTTTTAGCCTCTCTTGTCTGGATTCCAAACTAAATTTGACAAAGGATGAAGGAATTTCTTTCAGAATATGTCACTCAGATTATTATTTCGACCTTCTTCCAATTCAAATAAATATACAGAAAAAATGACCTTATTAATTGGGCAGAGGGACACATGCATATGTGCATTAATTCGAGCTCTCCGCCGTTTATTCATTTATTAATACTCTACATAGTTATGAGTTGGAGCGAAATTCCCAACAGCTACTGAGTGGTTAGCTTCGCAAACACCACCAACTCGAATATCAAATATCCGCTAAGATACTCGTATGTACATATGTACATACATAGTAAGTATGTATGTAATATGCAAGCTCGTCTATGCTCACTAGCTTTGTGGTTTATGGAAATTCTCACAGATCATTTGATTTTCGCGGCTTATTAATAATCATAGCAACATGCGCATACATATCAATGTTGACAAAATACCAATGCCGCATCTGGAACTGATCGCACTTTGACAGCGATAGCAGGTGGTCATATTTTTCTACACTCTAAAAAATAAAGTTGAGCGGACTTCTTTAAATTGTAGGAAGTTTTTTAAAGAATTTTTAGGAGTTTTTGTTTTTTCTTTGAAGGAACAGTGGATGAAGTCTCATTGGGACGCCAACCGACCGAGTAAACTACAAAAACAAGTAATTTTTAGCAAAAAAAAACCGACTTAAACTCTCATATAAAAAAAAAATATATATATATATCTCATGATCCACTGATCGGATCTTAACCAGATTAGTATGGGACCACCTCTGAGACACTACCTTTCCGATGCAAAAAGAATTATCGAAATCGGTTGATGTGGTCCAAAGTTATGCGGTAACATACATAAAAAAAAATATATATTCCGACGAACTGATAACCTCCTCCTTTTTTGGAAGTCGGCTAATAAAAGTTGCTACCGCGGAGTTGACTATTTTCCTCCAAACAAATTTACCTAGAAAATTTGTGTGCATAAGTAGGTATTTAACTTTTTTCAATATTCAAAGTAATTAATTTTCCAAGTGTATCTAATAAAAACTAGAAACAAATGCATGCATTTTTTCACACAGTCTTTATTTAATGGCAACATAATCTCTCAACATTGTTCATATTACATAGGTACATACATACATACATACTCGTACATAGTAAATCACAACTTCATTGACTTTTTTAGGTGTGCGTACATACATACATATGTGCATACATACATAACTACCAAGGCGTAAAGTATTCATCGTATGTACGTAGAAATAAGACACCTGATATGCTATTTAAATGAAGGCTATATCATCAGCCATTGCCATGTGAATACGAATATATATGAACATACATAGATACATGTTAGCAAAATCATCACATTTAGAATAAATATTTACCTATCTATGTATATACCATGTATACATACATACATATACATATGGAAAACTCATAACAGTTTCGAAGAAATTTTGCTTAATAATTCTCTACATACATACTACATATTCCTAAGTGTCTAAGTTTACAAACTACTAAATGCTATACCGTTTCATTACTAACTAGACTTGCAGTAGTATTCATTGTTACTCTGCTCTTGAATCCATTGCTAACTTTGTTGTCGTTGCTCTTCCGACTTTTACTACCAATTCGCTGCTTGCCATTGAGAATTTGTGCGACATCTGCATCATCGATGGTTCCTTTGAATATAAGCGGATATGGCCATTCGTGACATATTGTTGGACCATTATAATTGCGCAGCGCAATGATAAGCTCGTCTAAGCGTTGTACTTCGAGTAGCTCATCGTTGAAGTCTTTCACTTCGTCGATTAGTTGAGAAACATTCGATTCTAAAACCTGTTGGAAGATATTGCAGATTAATCGATACTGTGGAGTTAAATACAAATTACGTATAGTAAATATAGTTGGTGGACTATGCATAAAGGTTCATAAATTTATAAAAATGTGATATGAAAGAACATTAGTAAAATGTGTTTGGATACAAATATTTAGGTGTCGAAAGGTAGTAGGACTTTAACGAAGCGCACCACAGCGCTTGGAGCTACGGCCCTAAGATCGTAGTGCATAATGAGGAAACGCTACCTCCAAGAGGTGACCATGATTCCACCGAATACTACGGATATAAACCTGGAGGCTGTCGAACTACTCTATCCTTCTAATTTAGAATACTATACATGTCCATGCCCAGGCGGATTTCCAACTACATTTTTACGGACGTCTCCGATTCCTCTTAACTTTTTGAAGTGAAACTTTTTAGGCGACTTCGGATACGTTTCTAAAACGTTTAACGCCACTGTAAAGAGGAATATGGCGAAAACGAGGGGAAAGGTTGCATTGAATGTTTAACGCCACCTAAAGAGGGGGAATGAAAAGACAAGTAGAGAGTGAGAGAGAAACAAAGGTAAAAACAAACCGGGAGCTAAGAGGACAAGGACAAAGGCTAATGATAATGAGAAATATAATGTTAAAGAGGAATATAAGGATGAACATATAGATAAAGATGTTATAAAGATAAGAAAAGGAAATAAAGAAGATGAAGATAAAGAGAAAGGAAAAGGCTAAGCTAACATAATTGATAGCGATGAAGATTAAAAAAAGAAAATAAATATAAGCAGGGAGATAGGTAAAAAGATCAATATACAAATTAACAGGCAACTTTAAATATATACATAGAGATGATAAAAACATAGAAAAAGGTGACCATAAAGAGAGAGATTAAGAGGGAAAGAGAATGGGAAAAGCAAGGAAAAGGACAAAGATTAATATTTACACATTTTTGCAGTAAAAAAACCAACTATAACTGAATCGAAAGTAGTTTAGTTTTATGTGGAACTGGCTTTTGAAGTACGCCTTTTGCCGCCGGTACTATGACCTAATTTTTCGGAAGCAGCAGTTACAAATGACACCAATCTGCCTTCAGAAGATCAAATTATAGCGGCTAAAGGGAATTCTCTCGACCAGTCAGGATCCTATAATTAGAGAGGCAAGTCAAGAAACCAAGAAAGCCGAGGGATCCACTTTGAGTGATGTAGAAACCATCGCATCCTTTCTGAGTCGCCCCTTCTGAATCATCAACCCCCCGCTATGGAATCACATTGGGTTAAAACGACCTAAGTCTGTCGCTTTAGCCACGGTAACCTAACCTAATCTAATCTTGAATACGAAAATAGGCAAAAAACGTTTATCCTGCCCTTCGGAAGGTAAGCCTAGCAGCAGGCGAATTCCAGAAAATTAAAAATATTAAAATTTTTCTCAATGTCCACACCTGTGCTTACCAATAACTTAAAAGACAATTGCTGTCCCATTATTATTTAGCGCGCTTCGATTATTTCCTTGTTCCAAATCTGAAGACATGGCACGGGTGGTAAGAAACTTGAAACGAATGAAAAAAAACTGAAAAAAATGCCTATTGATAACTTTGAAGAAACCTATTATTTGGATGGGATAACTAATTGGAAAAACACTAGAGTAAATATATCGAGTTGAAAGGACACAATGTTGAGAAATAAAACCATTTTTTGCCAAATAAAAAAATATTCAAAAAGCCACTGACTTCTAAAACTGCCCTGATAAATACCATCGGTGCTGGAAATCGTATGCCAATTATATGTACAGATCATTAATGTTACACAGCTTCTGTGATATATTCATCAAAAAAATCGTCCACTTACAAAATGCCTTATTTCAGGTCTTTGCCTACGTTCATACCTAGTAGTAACAAACTCTGCATTCTATGCTTAATCAAAAAGATAAGGAAACCGCCTAAACGAAAATACTTTGAACAAATTATCCATTTAGGTAACTGCAGTCTTCTATTGTCTTATCTACGTAAGTCAGCATACCGCTGCAATTTACCCAGATTAACGAACAAAAATGCTTAACTACTAGCTATATATGTATGTATGTAACTATGTATAGTGTTATTGCTACCGTCATCAATATTGTCAACAATTTAGTTTACCCATTGTCTTACACCCTTTTCCAACATAAATATGTATTAAATGTATGTAACGGGTGGTCCATATAGTGGTTTCTTTTTAAAAATTAAAAAATTTACGATAAATTATTCGAAAGAGTAAACATTCCCATTTTGTATGGAACACGATTTAATTCCTGTAGCTGCCTCAGCTAGCTTCGCAGTAGCGCATGCTGTTAACCCAGTTTTCCAAGACCTTGGTGACAGTTTCTTGCGCAATCTCACGAATGGCCTGCTCGATGTTCGCCTTAAGGGCCTGAATCGTTAATGGACGCATAACATCGGTCCTTAACGGCAGTCCACAAAAAAAGCCTAACCGCGTCAGATCGCAGCTCCGAGGTGGCCAGTTGACATCGGCGAGACGGCTGATATTTAACACGATTACCGAACTTGGCGTGCAGAAGATCGATTGTGAATCCAAAAATCGTCCAAGCCCATGTCTGCAATTTCTGACCACAAAATATTTAGCCTCTTTTAGCGCTCACCGTTGACTAAAATGTCGTTTCCAGCAGTATTTTCAATTAATATCTAATGGGCCAATGATGCCATCGCTCCAGAAACCGTACTAAACTTTCACTCTTTGAGGATGCATTGGCTTCTCGACGATCAAGTTAGAGTTGTCCGATTCCCAGATGCGGCAGTTTTACGCCGAGATAAAAATGCGCTTCGTCAAAAAGAAAAAAAAAATCGAGCAAGATTTTAATTAGTTTCGAGCTGGTTCTTTTACTTCTAAACTATAATTGTTATTCACGTAACAAAGTTCCAATTCGGCATTTCATCGTGGTTGCGCATATTTGACATTTCCATCAAGTTCAGTTTAGAATTAAAAGAGACTGATGCTTTGGGTTAATGCGTTTCTGAACTCAGCCCTGCTGCTCTTATTTACCAACGTCGTGTATGCGTAAAGGGACTAATTTTGTTCCGCGGAGATACGTTATGATTGCCAGTGGCAAAATAACATTTGATAAAAAAAAACACTCAAACACTATATGGACCCCCCTTTACTTGTGTATGCAATTCAAGTACATATGTACATATGTTTGTACTTAGGTAGGGATTGAGGTTAAATAATGGCAAATAGTACAACGAAAGTGTTTGAAGAAGCAGTTGAAGGTGTCGGTAATGATATGTTGTGTTGGTGCTGATTGTTTGTTTGCCTTTGAATTGTGTAAAATTGTATTCATACTAATTTTATTTTCTTTACGTTTACAAGATATGCGCACATACATACATATCGCACACGATCTTCAAAAGTGACACAAATAAAAATTTGAAATTTTTGACACTAAAAATGTACGCAGAGATCATGATTCAATAATGAAAGGTTTTGTAAGAAAAACTTTCTCTCGCTCTAATTTTATCAATGACACTCCCACCCTACTCCTAAAAACAAAAACAGTGATATTTCTTTTCCAAATATCTTTGCAAGTTTTAAGAACATTTTTAAATTGTTAGTAGTGAAATTTTTACTTTTTAAATTTGAAGAAATGTTTGTTCTTCATTCGCTGGCGCCAACAAGACAAAATGGGTGAGCATCGTTGGACTACAGAAATTCAATGTAGGCTAAAGAGACGAAATTCTCTTAAATGCCGAAATATATTTGTCGATATTCGTGGAGACCTCTTGATTCTGCCAAGTCGCTGTAAAGTAAAGCATGCAATGGTTTTGGTAAATGATCCAACGAAGGTATTTAGGTATTGTCCTCCACAACACACTCCTGGTGTCTCCGAATGAGGCTTTGACGCAATATAATATTGCCAAACCGCATCCATAGGCCCAATCGTCACACGACAGCTCGGTTTAGTCAATGGCGCGATGTGTGTAATTGCACACTTAAAAAGTTTACGCACGAGGCGAATGTTGGCTGGCGACCAACTTTGTTGAAAGCGATTAGTTGAAAGTAGAATGCAAAGTTGAACAATGCAAACGCCTTTTTATGGCGAATATTTTTAATCATTCAAATTTTTTTTCGGGCAACCCGGCGAATGGTTAATATTCTGACAGTTGTATAGTCTCCCCAGAATATTAAAAGTGCGACATCAAAGAATTCGAATTACCATATTCGAAACAATCGAGCCATATCCGCGAAGGAAACGTAAGCTCCAAATTTTTTTATTTGCAGTTTTTTTTTTGTTTAATAAATACTGCATATTTTCCACAAACAAATAGCTTCTTCATATCCATCATCTGGCAAACAAATACAACGAAAAAAAAGCTGAAAGTGGACCATCCATTCTCGAGTTATGCGCCATCTGACGTACGCAAGTTTGGTATATGTGACCTGGTCTACGGAAAGGGGGCTTAGGTGTCAAAAAATTAATTTTCACTTTTTGGTTGATTCGGATGGAAGATGAGATGCTTTCTCACGTGGTGAAAAGCAGAAAATCCTAACTTGCTTAGAAGTGTACTAAAAATGTAGAGAAAGAAGAGTAAAAACGAGTAAACGAAACGAGTTGATTACTTTTAACAGCTTTTTCACAGAAAACTAGTTTTCGCACGTAAGCTCCGTTTTCGTAGACCAGGTCACATATACATAGAAATATTTATTTTCAATAACAATCGGGGGTTATATTCGATGTAAATAAGCTTGTTTAAATTAAATAATTAAATCAAATTCGTTTTTGTTTTAAAATACCACCATTCACTATTATCCACACCTTTTTATGGAATTTAGCTCCCATTTTAGGAAGTGTGATTGAATTCTTCCCCTTTTTCCCCTGCTTCCATAAACCATCCCTGTGGGTGGGAGTGCCAAATTTTAGAAAAAAGCTACTTACAAAACCTTTAATAATTGATTCATGCGCAGAGATTTTATTTACCTTTCAGCAAAAGCTGGAGAAAATTTTTGTTATTTTTTTGTTGGAAAAACCTAAGGTAAAGTTTACCTTGCCCATATAATTAGGAAGTTGCTAGGAAATAGTTTTTCACATTTCCTGACTAACGTGTAATTTTGAGTTGTGTCTCTTTTGAAGACGGTGTGTGTGTAAATATTTACATACATAACGGGTGATTTTTTTGAGGTTAGGATTTTCATGCATTAGTATTTGACAGATCACGTGGGATTTCAGACATGGTGTCAAAGAGAAAGATGCTCAGTATGCTTTGACATTTCATCATGAATAGACTTACTAACGAGCAACGCTTGCAAATCATTGAATTTTATTACCAAAATCAGTGTTCGGTTCGAAATGTGTGAAAAGTGTTTTTATCGACAAATTTTGTTCAGCGATGAGGCTCATTTCTGGTTGAATGGCTTCGTAAATAAGCAAAATTGCCGCATTTGGAGTGAAGAGCAACCAGAAGCCGTTCAAGAACTGCCCATGCATCCCGAAAAATGCACTGTTTGGTGTGGTTTGTACGCTGGTGGAATCATTGGACCGTATTTTTTCAAAGATGCTGTTGGACGCAACGTTACGGTGAATGGCGATCGCTATCGTTCGATGCTAACAAACTTTTTGTTGCCAAAAATGGAAGAACTGAACTTGGTTGACATGTGGTTTCAACAAGATGGCGCTACATGCCACACAGCTCGCGATTCTATGGCCATTTTGAGGGAAAACTTCGGAGAACAATTCATCTCAAGAAATGGACCGGTAAGTTGGCCACCAAGATCATGCGATTTGACGCCTTTAGACTATTTTTTGTGGGGCTACGTCAAGTCTAAAGTCTACAGAAATAAGCCAGCAACTATTCCAGCTTTGGAAGACAACATTTCCGAAGAAATTCGGGCTATTCCGGCCGAAATGCTCGAAAAAGTTGCCCAAAATTGGACTTTCCGAATGGACCACCTAAGACGCAGCCGCGGTCAACATTTAAATGAAATTATCTTCAAAAAGTAAATGTCATGGACCAATCTAACGTTTCAAATAAAGAACCGATGAGATTTTGCAAATTTTATGCGTTTTTTTTAAAAAAAAAGTTATCAAGCTCTTAAAAAATCACCCGTTATATTCAACCACTCGAGCGCCTCAAGAATATTGACATTGGGTAAATGCTCTAATTGTTAAATAGAAGAAGGCAAGAATACAAATAATGCAAACATTTCAGTGAATACTCGATGGGAAAATTTCAGTGGAGTGGGTGGGTTTCTAAAACCTTCTCTTGTTTGGGCTTTTTTCTCTTATATCGCCGATTATAGCATTTATCGCTAAAAAATGACAAGGCCATGTGATTCTGGTATTATTATTTTCTTATCATGAAGATATTTTGTTAGACCGCTTAAAAAAATTGCGAAAAATGCAAGAGAGTGCGATAAGGAATTTTAAGTAGTAGCAGTTTTAAGTATTTTTTCATTAATGCGAAAAAAATTGAATGCGAATTTCGATTTAGCAATTAGGTTTGGAAGGCAGCTTGGGCATCTCAAATTAAAGGTACAAAATGGACTGACCCTGGGACAAATGAAATGTAACAGCGAGGTGGCGATTGTTCCCAGCAATGAAAATTTCTATTAACGAAAAGATAATCTGTACCACGCGCATTGTAGAGAAGAGGATTACGAGACCAAGCGGTAGCAAGTTTGATATCGATATGCACTAGAGTGAAGCTTAAAAATATCAACATCTACGTTATATACGGAGCACCTCTTTTGTTCTTTGTTCTACGGGCAAAATAAAGACGTCCGCGAAAAAAAATTTTAGTGTTCGCTGAGAGGGTTAAAAAAAATATATATTTTTTCGTCAAAATTTGGTCTTGAAATCTGATAAATTCGACATACTAACTATTGAAACTTGTTAATATAAATTCATAAGCCAAGTTATATAGCAGGTCAAAGGCAAAATTTTGCCGAATTTTTGTGACTTAAAAAAATAAAAAATTTAACACCCTGGTAGTGACCTCCAAAATTTTGAAATTTCGTGGATGTTTTTATTTTGTACGTCGAACCAAATAAAGCGGTGCCCCTAGATGTTGATATTTTAAGGACCACCATAATATGCACACATTGATATACTCACAATGATGTGCATAGTATCTGCGCTTGAACCAAGATAGCAAGCTATTCTGTAAGTCAAGCATGTAAGAAAGTGTAAAAAAGACAGCCGTCTTATAAAGTACATGGAAAATTTTGAGCGGCCTCCAAAAATATTTTTTGATTTAAAAATAAAAAAATTAAGGTATGTATATGTTTTCGATATAGCACGATCCAAGGGGGTGAGAGAATTAAAATTCCAACTTTACTTTTGTTTTTTTGACTAACCTAATGTATATATGTATACATAAAAATTTTTTCTATGATTTTCAACAATCAACAAATATTTTCAACCATTATTATGCAAACATAACTCCCATGACACACCTTGTGTATTACCTAAATACTATGTAATACGAATATTATATTTATGTAAAATATTGTAATTTATATTTTTCCATTTACCAAAAATTCAATATGCAAATTGATTACACATTGCAACATTTGACGTACTCGGGTGCGTAACTTTTCGATGGTCAGCAGATGCCGCTGCATGGCATTAATTGATGTTTCCGTTGTCATATTTTTAGCTTATATTTTGACGTATTGTCTAGTTGACTTAATAATTGACTAAGCGAGCGTATGAAAGCTTCCACACATTTGTAAGCATGTAAATAGGTATGCATGTTATACATACATACATACATATATGCATTTGTCAATATGTTGCGCTAGTTTGTTGTTATTTCCACACCGACGGACACATTTAACACCAACTAATTTGTTTATATTGAAACGCTTGCTAGATGTCGGCGTTTGGAAACACTGTGGAACAACTATTTTGCATAAATTTTTTTGCGATTATAAATTTTCTTTTTAAAATATTGCACTATGGCATACTACATCTGCATGTAAGTGCTTGTATGTATCTATATTTTATGGTTTTTCTCATCTTTATATGTCATTTCTTGTCACGCACACTCATGTGTCAGTTTCTAAACTTTTTTCAAGCCTGTGTGATAAGCATTAATGACCCGCGTTGCATGCTACTTGCAAATCTCCGACGCAGAAACACGTAAATAGTATGTACATATGTATGTTGACAGGAACCACGCTGTACTTTTATTCAGCAAAATCTCACTCTTTAGATGTCAACTACTAGACTAGAAACACATTTCTCCAACAGGTACACCCGTTGCGGTCATTAGTGTCAACATGATTGCATGACAAGCCAACACCCGCGCCCTCACGCACCTACATACACACATACACAGAGCTACCACGAATGCCTTTAAAAAATGTGCCCACGCCGCAATGTCTGTGTGACCATCTCAGCTGTTTTTCACTGCACTGTTCTGTTCTTGTTAGGTAGGCAGGTGCCGGCAAGTGGTGCGCATTTGCTTTAACCTCTCCTAAGCGACATTTCTCGTATTTATGGGGCTTTTTGTGCACAATACACACACACACACACACACACACAAAAAGAAGAATCCAATCACCCACAAATCGAAAGGTCGTTATGGAGAAAAGCTCTCTGGCTGGTGGACGCGTTTGAAATAAAAATTACGCGGAGATGTTTTCAAAATACGTTAGGCTTCGTCATCGAGCGTCACCGTCAGCGGTCTAGCAATCCACCGGGAGCCAAGTATAGTGAGCGACTGATGAGCATTATTGTAGCAAAGCTGAAAGCTGAATGCTTAGGCTGGTATGTGTTGCTCGACATCGAATTTTTTTTGTATTATCGTTGTTTGTTCTTTCGCTTTGTTTATTTATTTAATTTTTTTCGCTTTGTATTTTTATTTCGTTAAGAATGACACAGTAACTCACAGCGCTGCTGTTCGTAGCCAACAATGCTCAGTAAAGAGCGTTTTTGCTCAATAGTTCCAGCGAACGCGAATATGAGGAGGTTATCAATTCGCTTTCGAGTTTGCACAAACAAAATGTGTGGGACAAACACGCTTTATGTGTAGCGATTTACTAGCTAGAACAAAGGGCAAGCAAGATAAAGCTTTTATAATGGGTACGTCTCTTGGCAGTTGAAGCTCCACCTCTTCTACAGGTGGTGTGGCGTTCTGACAAGTCTGTAGTTTCGTCCACTGCGTCCGGGGACTAGACCCAACTGGTGCTGGAGAGCGACTTGAGGACCTTGTTGCGGCTCTGTACTTTGTTGACAACTGCGGTTGTGTGCGTGGGGAAGGAGAGCAGGCTATCAAAGGTGACCTCTAAAATTTTCGGGTTGTTTGCTGCCGGTATTTCATGTGCCATCGACGTGAATGCCTAATTCTAGCCTGACCTCTTTCGTCCAGGAGGTGGAGAGGGTCACCATTGATTTCGTTGGGGGAGAGTATTAGTGCTTCTTGCAGTGAAGAAGCGAGAAAGGCTGGAGAGATAGCCGTTTACTTTTGAGCAGAGGTTATCAATTCCATTCTCAGACGCTAATATCAAGCAGTGGTTAGCGTAAGAGATCAGAGAAACTCCCTCAGGTGACTGGGAGAGCTTCGAGATGTAGTTGTAATTGAACAGTAAGGGGGGAGAGGACACCCCCATGTGGAACCCCTTGTTTTATTCTTCTTGGTTTGGCGGTTTGATCTCTGAAGATCACTGACGCTTCAGTCCCTGTGGGAGTGAGGAGGCTTCAATGTCTTCTAGCAACGTGGAATGGCAGACGGTGTCAAACGCCTTTGGCAAGTCCAACGCTACTAGGATCGTTCTCTCACTTGGGCTATTGCGATTTAGGCCACGAGTTATTTTGGTGTTTATGGCGTTAAGTGCTGTTGTTTGTTCTGTGCACTTTACGGAAGCCATGCTGATGCTTCGATGGGGTCAGGTGGTAGGTGAAGTACGGGATTAGCAGGGTCTCTATGGTATTCGCGACCGGGGAAAGGAGCGTTATCGGGCGATAAGAGTCTCCTTTGTTGGCGGGTTTTACCGGTTTCAGCAGCGGGAGCACTCTCGCTGATTTACACACATCAGGAATGATGAGAGTGGCAATTGACAGATTGAGTACCTCCGTTAGGTATGCTACTCCCGCGGGCCCTAAATGTTACAGCATCAGCATACAGATTCAATTGGGATGTTGAAAAACGCAATACGAGCTGCCAATCTGAATTGCAGCGGTACCAAAATCTCAGGCACAGTCGCGGTGCTCATGCCCTTTCTTTGGTAAGGCGCAGGAACGTGGACAATGTCGGAAAAGGTAAGGAAGCTTAGCGTCTTTCAAGAGAATTATTATATACATCTACGACCCCGCTCGTTGGGTGAAGAAGATGGAATGACGAAACTCACGATACATACATGCATACATACATATGTATGCCGCATAGAAATACACCGCTTCTGGTGGCTTGAAAAGTTGCACGCATGGATGACGATACTCTGGGGAAAAAAGAGGTGGGTAACGAAAGCAATGACACTCGCGAAGACAATGAAGGCACAAGCGCAGATGAACCGGCCTTCATTTGGTATGTGAACTGACGTAATTTTTCAAAGCAGAGAAGCGATCGGCGCAGATTCTTGTTCTTGGCACAGAACCGATAGACACTTGAGGTGTCAAATAGGAATGAAAAATATTAGGGGTATTCACCAAATTGAGCAAGTGACCTGACACTCGGGCAAAAGAGCTGTTTAGCTCAAAATAACGAAGTTCTCAAAGATTTTGCTTGAGCTAATTAGCTCTTTTGCCCGAGTACCAGGTCACTTGCTTAATTTGGTGAATACCCCTATTCTGTTAAGCGCATATTCTTAACGACTTGATAGTTAATTTGAATTATTTGTAATAAGTAAATACATATATAAACACAAAGTTTTTTTTTCAACATTTTATGACGTCATCATCGCACTTTGTTTGCGGCATGCCACATTGCCCGCATTCTTTTGTACATCAAATACTTATATGCAGTAATTTAATCTATCACTTGTATTAATGGCATTTTACATGTATGTATGTACATTACATATTGCCAACAACATGGGTGTAAGTAAGTACTTAAATAAATGCTTGCGCATCTTGGCACAAATACACTTACATGCATATATGTATATATTAATATACAGTACAAAATAGAAGTGCATGCACATCAGTACTTGTGATACCCATGAGAACATTGTTAAAAAATTGGGTCGAATAAAAAGACTTCGCGGAGTTTTATGCACATTTTTGTAAAAAATTTCTTTATTAATAATTGATTTTACTCATTCGAGTAAACAGGCCATTATTATCTTTTCGAGTAGCTTCATAATTCCATCGGTGTATAAATTTTGTGATTTTCAGCGGCTCTACGGTCGCTAAATTTTTTACCATGAAGAGAGTTTGACAAAGACCGAAACACATAAAAGTCAGATTAGGCACTATGCGGCGGATGCTTGCCAACCAAGTTCCGTTAATATGCTCCCAGGCATTAAGGATGTGTGTGGCCTACTCCATAACTCCTTTTTTGTTGACCAATTCTGGTCGCTCATTCTTGATTGCCTCATATAAACGGCGGAGTTGTGCAGAGTAGAGGACCGTGTTGATCGTGTCGCCTCGATCTTGCTTTTCAACCAAGTTTCAATAAAAATGCTTTGCGTTAATTATTCGTGTGGCGCCTGTACATCGAGCTTCTTTGAGTAGCCTGCACTTTTCAAAACATTCCAAACAGGCCTGTGATTGATTTTTTGTGCCTCCGTTATCTCTGCCAGCTTGCATGCCGGTGTTGATCAACCATTTGCTTTAGTTCATTGACTTTTCCAGTGACTGGCCGACCAGAGCGATGTGCTTTTTTGACATAAAAAATTCTGCAATTGAATCGCGCAAGCCACTCCTTGGTCCGGCATTCCCTCACAGCATTCTCACCGTACACTTCACACATTTTTCGACGTGTATTTGTAGCCTTTTCGCTTTTCAGCCTCATTGCGAGAGTCGTGTCGAATGCAAGTCGTTTTTCGAGAGTCGAATCGTATCGAAAATTTCATGTCATTGCCTAAAATTTCTACTCGACTAGTGTATTAAAACGGAAGAACCTGGCAGCACTGCATAGTTTCCGTCGATTTTCGTCGTTTACTTATTTCAGCACGACAGTAGACAATGCCAGTGTTGTCGAAAAAAGCATCACATATCATATTTCTTCAGATATTAAACTAATTTTCAAACCAATACAACTTTTTGCACGAATGATGATTTACAGAACTGGCTTCACAAAAAATGTAGCCTGAAATGTCACCTTTCAAACGCACGTGAGTTGGGCGCAATTGCATTAATGTTGTCAGATTTATGGACATAAGTACCACATAGTGACAAAAAATCCGCAGTGAATTTTCATAAATATATGACCCAATATTATTCCGTTGTTGCTTGTGGTTTTATTTTTTATTTTTTGTGATTTACATATGTATGCATATTTAAATGTATTACATATGCATACACATATGTAAGTACATAAAAACAGTCTTGAGAAAAATTATTCGAACTCAACTCCGGAAATGGGTGGCATACAGAGTATAGAGTGGTTTGAAGTAATAATTTGCCTGAACGAGAATTGACATTTAGAAACAAAATGGAACAAAAATTAAAACAAAAGGGTCCTTACTGCGGCTAGGATTTTTTGAATATCCGAATGCGACATGTTAAATTGAACTTAACATCCTCATCCACTAGGCAAGATGTGCTATACTTAAAGGTCTTTGGAGCCGCTTGGCTGTCACTGAAGACCTTCCGACCCTACTTCCATCTTCGTTACAAGTTCGTGGAGAGCTGACATAAAGGATTTTCTACTCCGTTGTGCAACTTGGTGCCTACTAAGGGTGCTGTCCACCAAAATCTTATATCTTATATATATATATATATATCATGTACTTTTCGACAAAGAATTCCAGGCACGAAGGTTGCCAGACAGAATGCACTGAAGCTTTTGCACGCCACTGTATACCAGCATATGCATAACTGTGCTTTACTTTACAAAAATAATTTCCCATGAATTCACGCATTATTTGCCCCAAACAAGTAGTAGTTATGTACATATTTTGCTGTGCAAAAAATTCTGATCCGATTTCGAATATGATAAATATTTTCTCTCCATATGAAGTTTAAATAAAAAATTAACACTTCTTTTATCCAATAACATAAATGCTCATGTTAAGTGAGACAAATAAACTATAAATATACACATATATATATGTACATGTGGATTTTAAGTGTGATTTTATGAAGGATTAATTGGTTATGTAAATTATTGGCATGCTTATTCGGTAGAAAATATTGCACTCAGAATACAAATACCAGCCGTTCGGTGGAGTAGTATCACAATCCAGAATTTAATATTTTTCGGTTAATATAAGTATGTATATGCATATGGCTGTTTGGTTTGTGTAGCACAAAATGTGGTAAAAAACATTTATATTTGGTTTCAGAAGTTAATTTTCATTTTCACTGTTTGAAAACTATGTAAAATAAAACCGGTTTGTCCGGTTTTTTCTTAATTTAAAAATCGGGAACTGCGTTTTTTCAAATTGTAATTTTTTGAAAAACTCAAAAACCGGTTTTAGAAAAAGCGGAATAATTGAACACCCTAGTATGAAACCTTCTGCATAGCCGCAGAGTGCTTACTTGTTTTAGTATAATATAGTTCAATTTGGAAGTGTCTTAAAATTCGCAGGCACTTTCTTTGATATAACTAAAAGACGGTT